CCCCCCCACATCCCAATAAATTGCATATCGTTGTGTTGCTTGTAACTATTTACTAAAAAAAGGCCAACATTCCCACAAAAAAAAGTGAACGCACTGCCCCAAAATGGCGTCCAAACATGGCGGATTGATGACTCTGACTTTAGTTAGTTTTTGGTCACGGAGAATCAGCATTTGGCTTAATTTCCTCATAGCTGGTCTTTTATTAAAGCTGAATAGTCGTAGAATAATAAAACATGAAGAAATATTAAAAAATAATTGGCTTAGGCTATGAAAAACACCAGTAAAGTCAATTTTTTTTAACAAAAAGAATTTTCAAGTTAAAAATCAAGCGTCGTTTGTAATTAAACGACCTACAATAACGCAAATCATGCTGAAATAAAACATCTGGAGAATATATTTCTCTTTCCAAAACGCTGATTATTTTTAAAAAAATTTTAAGCAGTTCTGTAGAAAATGCACTTATGCGGCAGAAAAGCGGTACTGGCATGGGTGCCTACAGGCCTCTACCACACCATTCAGTACACAGAAATGGCTTAGTTATACTGATATAATAACGTTTTTGGTACATTATATTGGTTTTATTAATGAACAAATATTAATGCAATAATTTAATTGTCAAAAAAAATACCTAAAATTTTTTTTAAAAAATTTATTATTATTTTTTTTTAATTTAACTTCCTTTATTCTATACGTAGGTCGTTTAAGAATACCTCAATTGTAAAAATGATACAATTATGATAATAAAACTTAATTAAAAAATACTTTGCTAAATATGTTGATTTTTTTTTTATTTAACGTTTGCAATTTAACACTGCGTTTTGTATATTTACTGATTCTTAGAGGTAATTAAAATTTTTATATAATTCTCAGAAAATGAGTCATATTAATACCTGTTTTATAAACCAAAATATTATATACCTAATCTGAACTATATATATAATGAATAGCTGCCGGGTTGTATAGTAAAACTCATATATCACTAATTAAAAAATTAATTTTTATTTCCTTTATTTTGTGCGGAAGTTGGACTATATCATAAATAAATAGGAAATTTTAATATTGAATAAATTATTCTCTCTGTACAAAAAAAGATAGAAGGGGTGACGCTATAAGTTCTTCTATAAACCAGAACTGACTGTTTGAATTTGGTCTCAAAATGAGGAAAAACGCGAAATTGAACCCGAAAATTAGAAAAATACATCAAGCGAACTAGAAAGGAAGTGCTAAAACCGCAGAAAATAAAAAGCACCAGTATCCATTATATAGCTAAATGAATGTATAGTAGACAGATGAACAGAATATTTCAAGTACGACTAAAAGGGGGTCAATTGCCGTTTGGATGATATTAAGTGGACGATGTAGGTTTATTATGGTGAAAACCACTTTATTTTTGATTGCTGAAGGTGCACATTGGGACTATCTTCACTTTGAAGCAGGATATAGAGAGGTATATCGAGAAAGTTAGCTCTCTTTCTGTTTAGTGCATTTGCAAAAGATTTTTTAAGTAATCTAAAAGGAAAACGAGCTTTTCTGAAAGACAATCAGATATTAGCACAATCCAAAGTGTGAGGCACTAAGCAGATAGAGAGCTATTTTTCTTTTTATATGGACTTCTTTATGACCTGCCTTAAAGTGAAGACAGTCCCAATTTTCAACTTCTCTTCCAATGTGCAACTTGAGTTGCTCAATCCATATCGCAATGTTTCTCAATCTCAATCTGGCATGCCAGAGCAATTGACAATATTTCTTATTCCAGCTTCTACGATTCTTGAGTATAATTTCTTTAGTACACTAAACAGGAATGGATCTTGATGGGTATTACATTTCCTAGTATCTCCTTTCTTTTAAAAATAAAAACCACAGTCCTTTCATATCATTTTCTAATACACTTGTTCCCTATGTACGCGCAAAACTGTGCGAAGCAGTCCAGTTTCGCCCTTTCCATCTTTCTTTGTGCAGAGAGAATAATGCATTCAATATTAAAATTTTCTATTTTTTTATGATATGGTACAACTTTCGAACAATTTATTCCGCAATTTCTGAACAATAACAAGCTATAACTTATATAAGATTCCTTAAAAAATCTTTAGCAAATGCACTAAACAGAAGGAGAGCTATGAGCTATAACTTTCTCGATATACCTCTCTACATCCGGCTTCAAAGTGAAGATAGTACCAATATGCACCTTGAGCAAGCTTGATTTTTAACTTGAAAATTTATTTGTAAAAAAAATTGACTTTACTGGTGTTTTTCATAGCCTAAGCCAATTATTTTTTAATACTTCTTCATATTTTATTATTCTATGACTATTTAATAAATTCTATTACAGCTTTAATAAAAGACCAACTATGAGGAAATTAAGCCAAATGCTGATTCTCAGTGACCAAAAAACTAACTAAAGTCAAAGTCGTCAATCCGCCATGTTTGGTCGCCATTTTGGGGCAGTGCGTTCACTTTTTTTTGTGGGAACATTGGCCTTTTTTTAGTAAATAGTTACAAGAAACACAACGGTATGCAATCTATAGGTTTGCGGGGGGGAGGGGGTGCATGGTAAGGGGGTCTGGCCCACCATGTATGAAGGCACCTACTTTACTCTTTTAAGTGCAATAAGTGCATTAACTACGGAACTATTTCAAATATTTTAAAACGTAATCAGTGTTTTAGAAAGAGAAAACGTATTCTCCAGATGTTTTATTTCAACACGTTTTGCATTATTGTTGGCCGTTTAATTACAAACGACGCTTGATTTTCAACTTGAAAATTTTTTTGTTAAAAAATTGACTTTACCGATTTTTTTTTATTGCCTAAGCCAAATAGTTTTTAATATTTTTTCATGTTTTATTATTCTCTGACTATCCAGCTTTAATAAAAAACCAACTATGATGAAATTAAGCCAAATGCTGATTCTCAGTTACAAAAAAACTAACTAAAGTCAAAGTCGTCAATCTGTTTTGTTTCGATGTTTGGACGCCATTTTGGGGCAGTTCGTTCACTTTTTTTTGTGGGAACATTGGCTTTTTTTGATAAATTTTCACAAGGAACACAAGGATATTCAATTTATAGGGATGTGGAGGGGGGGTCTGGCCCACCGTGTATTATACAAAAACTTCAGGAGCCGATATCTTTCAAGGAAGGCAAAAATCAGCCTGTACAAAACTATTGTCCATCCAAAACTAATGTAGGGATCGGAGGCATGGGCCATTAAGAAGGTGGATGAAAAACGGCTCTTAGTATTTGAAAGGGAGATATTGAGGAGGATATATGAACCCATTAAAGTAGGCGAGACATGGAGAAGACGAAAGAACCAAGAATTATACTCGGTGACGAGTTGTTGAGCCATTGTGTATTGTATATATATAATAAAATTTCCCAAGGTGAAATACAATCTTATTAATATTATTTTTCAACGTATTTTATGATAAAAATAAAATAAAGAATCTATGGAAAACAAATCATACATAAAAACTAAAATATCCCTATTAATTTTTGTGCAATACGAGGGTGGTCTGATAAGTTTCCGACCTAACAAAATACAAGACATTTTTTCTGAATTTTTTTTTTTTTCAACATAGTCTCCTTGTAACTCTACACACTTCTCCCAGCGATGCTCCCATCTCTGTAACCTGTCCAAAAAATACTCGGCATTTTTCTCTGTAAAATAATTGTTCACGAAGATGATTGCCTCTTCATTTAATGAAAATCTCTGTCCTCCGAGCGCAATTTTTAGATAAAGGAACAAAAATAAGTCGCTTGGGGCTAGATCTGGTGAGTTAGGTGGATGGTCAAGCAGTTCAAACCGTAATTCGTTGATTTTCGTCATGGCAACCACTGAGGTGTGAGACGAGGAGTTATCTTGGTGAAAGATGATTTTCTTTTTCTGCAAATGTGGCTGTTTTTCAGCAAGTTCTGCCTTCAGCTTGTCAAGTAATGATGCGTAGTATGCTCTTGTACTGGTTTTTCCTTTTTGAAGATAGTTGATTAAAATAACTCCACGACTATCACAAAAAACAGTCGCCATCACTTTCCCAGCCGAGAAAACAGTTTTTACATTTTTTGGAGCAGGTTCCCCCTTTGCACTCCACTGTTTGGACTGTATTTTTGTTTCGGGTGTATAATGGTGTATCCAAGTTTCATCTACAGTAATTAACCGGCACCAAAACTCGGATTTATTGTGCCTAAACTGCACTAACAGAGCATTGGTAATGTGCATTCAAACAAATTTTTGGTCAGAGCAAATGTGGCACCCAATGTGTGGACAGCTTTCTCATATCTAAAAGTTGATTTAATATGGAACAAACAAGTTCTTTTGACATGTTCATAACCTCTGCTATCTCTATCACTTCAATTCGGCAGTCGTCTAACACCATTTGGTGAACTTTGGCAATGTTTTCATCATTTGTTGTAGTTTTTGGACGTCCAGAACATTCAGCGTCTCCCAACCTTTTTTGGCCACGTTTAAATTCAGCTGCCCAAAATTTCACTGTGATAAATGATGGTGCAGAGTCCCCATACACAGAATCCAGCTCATCTTTGAATTGTGTAGGCGTATTGCATTTCAAAAACAAATATTTAATGGCAGCTCGATACTGGATTTTGTCCATTTTCATAAAAACACTCAAATCAACTCACTCAAAATGGCTGAAACTTTGGTGGGTAACTGTCAACAGATGAACAACAAAAATTCACTTGCTTTTATTTACGAGTGCTGCCATCTTCACATTGGGGTCAGAAACTTCTCCGACCACTCTTGTATATATATCTATCTCTAAAAAAATGTTTCCATCACATAAAAATAAAATAAAAACTATGAACAAAAAAAAAAAAAAGAAATAGAACAGAATGTTCAATTAATATCTTTAATAAATCAGACATTTGTAATGCTACGCTTTATTTATTTAATAAACAACAAGATTGCTAAGGAAAGAAAATGCAGTATAATTTTATACATACTAGTATAGTATATAAATAAAATATAAGAAAACAAAAAGTTGATAACTTACCTTATAAACTGCAACACCAGCTGATCCAGACAAAATAAAAGCTACAATCCACTTATTGGGAGTACCACCACGGCCCGAAGCTTTTTGTGAATAATATCGTAGAGGGAATGATAAATGACCTGGGGTCTGAAAAGTGCTTAAGAATTTTATAGTGGAAAACCCATAGCTTTTCTGAAAAAATAAAAATAAATTGTTATAAAGTAGTAGCAAAATAATCAGGAGACAGAACATAAATGTTAGGTTATTATTGGAAAAAAATTTAGTATGCAATTGTATTTCATGGAGTGATGTTCAATTAGCTGTTTTTTTCTGTCCTGATGATGCCTGAATTGGTCAAACGTTGACAGGGTTTTTCTTTGCCTGCATTTTGGAGACATAAAGCTGTAGGGTTTGGAATTTTTTCAATAATAACCTAACAAATAAAAATAAAATTATAATTTGACAAATATAAAAATTAATATAATTATTATGGGTGATAAATATTCAGGACGCAGTCATTTAAAAAAAAAATTAATATTTTATTTGTGCCAACATTTAAACCCAAACATGTGGGTCATCTGTTTGGGTTCACATGTTTGGGTTGAAACGTTGGGACAAATAAAAATAAATTTTTTTTTTTAAAAGACTGGGTCCTGAATATTTATCACCCATGATATGTACAACAGTCGACTAGCTTCTTTCAAATATAATTACTTATTTTTACTATTTTTTATTTTGACTGATCACCCCAACCATCCTTCTCTTCAATTATTCACTACAGTCAACCATCAATCCACAATTAAAAATAAAATTACTTAAAACTTAATTTATCAACTTATAATTCATAAATATTATTACATTAGAAATAATAATAGATGTTAACCTTTTAAAATAGATTACAAATTCAAGCATGGAATCAATTAAAAACAATGACCAGAATCAATAAAAATCATTTAAATTTTTCGTTTAAAATTTTCAATAATATAATATATTATTTAAGTTAACTTTCAATTACTTAACGAATAACACTGCCTTCTCAAAGTATATACAAAAATATTTGTGATAAACATCTTTTCTGTAATTGACACTTTTAATTATCTAAGTAAATTTCAAATTGATCAGACGCCTAACAATATTTATGTCTGATGAAATATTAAAGGATTTTATAAAAATCATGAATCCTGAGGGAAAGGATCCGGAAAGCTTGCCTATCTATTTATTTAATAACATAAAAAGTAAAAGCTTACTAAAGTAAAGAGAAAAGAGAAAATAACAAATTTATTGAGGACCTTCATACTTTTTTTTATAAATTAATAATCAATAAGAGTGAAATAACTTACAAAAGGAAGATACTTGGATGAAGAGTTCTGGAAATTTGATTTCACTGAGTTAGGAAAAAATGTTGATTTCTTGAGGAATGTAGATTCTTTATTAGATTTTCCCCACCTAATTTTTTTAGCAATAACCTTCCACCTCACCTCTACAACAAAAGTTACAGCTATTAGGATGATTTAATAATACAAAGCATTCATTCAGTAATCAGCCAAAAGTATTTTAAGTAATTAGACAAATGCATTCTAATTACAACTACATTTTGACACTCAACATTTTTTTCTTGTTAGATTATTGTGAAATAGTTAAAACAAACTATCAATTTCATTTTTCGATTTTTAATCATCAATGTATAATAAAATAACAATCATCCATACAATTTTTTACATTAATAACTTAAGTTTTTATGATGGATATTTTATTTATTTTTTGTGGGTATTCATATGGTTAATCCCATCAAAACATTTATTCAACAAAATGCAAATAATTATGCTAGCTCGTGATTATTATAGACAAATTATTAAAAAATTGCCTACAATTTATTTTAAAAGAATAAAAATAAATATATTAGTGAAGATAATTTGCCAATAGTAACAATTCAAATTTATAGCAGAACCTCTGGTAAGAGATTTAAGGTAGCCTCACTTAACCGGCGACAAAAAAATTTTTTTTTCATAGATTTCACTAGTTGTAGATTTACATAATCACAATAATTAAACTATTTAAACCAAAAGATTACTAATATAGGAGAGATAAGGTTGTTTTTACTACAGCAAATCTTAACTAGTGAACTGAAGGGAATTAACAGGGTAACATTATAATATATCATTTGTAACTATCCTCTGAACTACAGGAAAAATTAGATGTATCTCTATATAGAAATTCATATAAAAACAATGTGAAATTAATTTGTTGATTCAAAAAGCTTCCGATAATTTTGTTTTTAAAATTCAAACTGAGAATTTTATAGAATATTTTAACAATAGGCAGCATTTCATTATTGATAAAAAATATTCTTAGTCACATTTCCGATAGTCAAAAAAGAAAACCCTTGGGGTAGGTGTATTGCTTGGTATTTAAAGTGTAGAGGTACCTAGCCATATTCCTCTACAGTGGCTGAACAATATAATGCAGCCATATGATATTACTTTTTGATTGGTTGGCCATCTTGGGTCGTCCCTTGCTCTTGCTAACTGTTAAATTTTCTTATTTTATTAGCAATACTTTATTTAAGAAGTTTAATTTTGTTTTTTTAGGGATAGATTTAGTTTATTAATATGCAGTTTTTATTGAATAGTTATACGTTTTAGTGTTTAAAGTGATAGGTTGGTTTCATCTTCAGTGATAGATTTCATCTTCACAGACTCTTATTTTATTAGTGATATTTTGTTTAAAAGCTTAATTGTGTTGTTTTAGTAATAGATTCATTTTATCAACAGGTAGTTTTTATTTAATAGTTATACATATCAGTGATACATAAAGTGATAAGTTTGGTTTCATCTTCATAGACTTAAAATCACAAGTATACTTTAATTTTTTACTTTATTTTATTAATTTTCTTTTTTAACTCAGTGGTAATGATAGAAAAAGATGGAAATCAAGTTTGAAACTTGGTTATATGAATATAGTGTCTATAGTTTGAGGCTACTAGCTAACACAATTTTTATCTTAAAATACGAATTTAGTTGATGATCCTTAGCTTTATTGAGATCTCTAGTAACTAAAAGTTGTTTTCTTTTATATCAGAATAAGTGATATGATGCTCATATTGATTGATTTTTAAGAAATACATTGTTGTGCTGCAAAAGTTTTGAAATGAAATATTATTTTCCTTAGTTTTTCTTATAATTGAAATTCTAAAACTGTTAATGTTTATTCTAGATGGTTCAACTATTATTTAAGGATCATCAGCTATACTCAATTCAACTATGACTTAAGGATCATCAACTACACTCATATTTTTAATATTGAAAGTAACAATGACTATAAAGGAAAACCAAATTTCAATTTTATACTTGAAACCATTGACTTCAAATTAAATATTGTATTAGCTAGAATCCTCAAATTATAGAAATTATCTTCTGTAACCAAGTTTCAAACGAACATTAATAAAATAAAGTAAAAAATTAAATGATCAAGTCATTTACAAAACCTATACGAGCCAAATCAACTCAATAAGAGGTGATTTAAGAGTATTTTTCATAGAAAATAATCAGTTCCGTTAATGCAGAACAATAATTAAAGCTGAATGCAGATAAAACCAAGGCTATTATCATCGGGTCCAGACATCTCATCAGCTCCCTTCCTTACTTTCCTCTACTTTACCTCAATAACCATCCCATCCATTTTTTCCCTACAATCAAAAACCTAGGAGTAACCTTTGACCAGAACCTCTCCTGGAATAATCATATCTCCCAGATTACCCGAAAATCCATAACTGCCCTTAAACAACTCCTAAGATTCCGTGATTGTATTCCTCTAAAAACCAGACAGCTCCTTGTAACCTCCCTTGTATTCCCCCACTTCGACTACAGCTGCTTGGTGTATGGAGGGCTATCTGCCAGGCTGGAAATGAAACTAAAAAGACTCATGAATTGTTTCATAAGATACATTTTCGGGATCCCCAGACTTCACATGTATCACTATGGCACACCGTCTTTATTTATTTTTTAATTCCTTTGTTAATTAAAAATGTTTTCTTTTTCAAGTTAAATTGGATAGTTCTTCAATCAACTGATAATTGATTGTATTTTATCCTTACAGGATTTATATTTCACTATTAGTTTTTTTGTTTTTGTTTTGGTATATCCTGTATGATAAAATAAAAAATATACTATAGCCAACAATCTCTAATTTCCCAAAAAAGTAATGAAAAATAAATAAAACAAGGGAAAGCTTAGATTCTGGTCTAATGGAAAATTCAGGTGTGATGAACGTTATTACAATTTATCATATGATTATTAATTCATTTCATTGATAACAGGTATGTTGATATTGACTGGTAAATAGTAATTTGCAAATTATACAAAAACTAAGTTATACCACTCCGAAACAAATACTCTCCTACCATCTTTAACAGGCTTATATGTAAAATGAACAATTTTTTTCTACTTCAGATGCAATATACAATATCTACATTACGGTAAGAGGTAAACCATTTCATAAAAAATATTTTATTATCAATGATCAGAAACTATTCTATTAATTGAGGATCAAATTTTGAACTATTTAAAATTTTGTAATAATAGTGGATTTATAATAGTTAATGTTGCCCGAAATCGGTTTTGGTCATGCACTTTGCAATACCAAGACTAAGGCCGCCTAACTGTTACAAGACCAAGACCAAGACTGGTAAAAAAAAAACCTATTTATGAATAAAAATTAAGGTAAAATAGTCACTAAAATTTGACTATTTTAGTTACCGTATGTAAAGAATTGGTATAACCAATATCCTTTGGAATTTAACTCTCAATTTTTCATTCGGGAATAGTTAGGCTTCGATATATGAACAATTACAGTAATATCTCTATAATAATAAGCTAGTAGGTAACTGCGAGACTTGCACAAGACCGCCTGTTATCATTATACAAGCAAGCCTTTGAATCTTTCCTAATGAGGATAAGTTGGCCACAGTCTTTGCTTTGTGCCACCATAGCAAAGCTGAGTAAAGTATGATAGGTCTGACTGACGTTGTGTACAGCCAGTATACCATTTTTGGTTTTAGTCCCCAATTCTTTCCTATCGCTCTTTTACAGGCCCATAGGTATTTGAGGGCTTTACTTGTCACGTTTTGAACGTGTTTAGTCCATGACAGTTTATGGTCCAAAGTGACTCCAAGGTGTTTTACTTCCTTACTCAGTGTCAACTGGATACCATTAATTTCCGGCATTTTAATAGCTACCTTCTTTATGCAACCTTTAGCTACCTTCCTGAGAGTGCAAGACCAAGACTCCTCTGGGCATTTGGGCAACACTAGTTTGGGGTGTTCAGTCAAAAGTAACAAAGTAAAAATAAATAAATTATATTTATTAAATTTACATTAAATAATGTATATTTATTAAATTTACATTAAATAGTTTATATTTATTAAATAATTTATTTTTATTAAATTTACATTAAATAATTTATATTTATTAAATTTACATTAAATAGTTTATATTTATTAAATAATTTATTTTTATTAAGTTTACATTAAATAAGTTATATTTATTAAATTTACATTAAATAATTTACATTTATTTAAAGTTTTTTTTTTTTCTAAAGGAGAATATTAAGAAGAAAAATAAAAATAGTTTCATGGTTGCTGTCTTAGAATTAAGTTTCTGGTTTTCCAATGAAAGTTAATTTTCACTCAGTTTTTGTTTAATGTTTTAATAATTATATAAATGTGTTTGTGAAATTTGCCAATGATAGAGTTAGATGAATAAAATGGAAATTGAAATATGCCGAAGTTTATTGTAATATATTTTAAAAGAAGTTAAATAGAAAAAAAAATATTGTTCTTCGATTTTATTATTTATTTTCACGTGATATAAGTGATTCATATACTTCACTTAACTTGCTCAACTTCAATTCTATCTCCCAAACCATTCTAGTTAATAGTTTGTTGCAATAATTACTTTTTAAATTGAAATAACAAAGAGAGACAATTCAAATATTAGATGATGACCCGATATGGCCACCACATCGATATGACCATACTGTATTATTAAGCCACTGTACATTCCTCACCTAGCATGCCCTCTCTAGGAAATATATATAGATTTCAACAGAAAAATTAATTTTTCAAAAACTTTATTAGAAAATCAAATGTATATCTATCTATAGAGAGTAAAACAAAAAAGAAATTACTCAAAATGTCCCCCTTTTGCCTTGACACAGGTATTTAATCTCTGTAGCGTCATCAATAGCAGCACGCAGCACTTCTTGAGGAAAGCCCTCAAATGCTCGGACCAGAGATTGTTTGAGGCTTTCCACGTTAGGGTATGCTCTGTGGCATGGCATCCAGTTCTGACCAAAGCCGATAATCAAGTGGGTTGAAACCAGGGCTTCCTGAGGACCAATCCAAAGTAGATATGAATTCTGGAATGTTCTTTTGCAGCCACTGCTGAGTTGACCTGGCTTTGTGAGCTGGAGTGGAATCCTGCTGGAAAACCTAATGACTTCCAGCAAACAGAGTCCTAATAGTTTTTAGCAGCTGTTTTAACTCCTTCACAAAAATGGAGCTTTGTGGTGCCATCAAAGCAAACTCCCTACCAAACCATCACTGAGGAAGCGTGATGACCTCTTTCCACTCTTATAATGACTTCCTGGGCTTGTTTAGAGCTGTGTGAGTACACATGATCATTTTGGCGACTAAATTTGTCTTCAATTGTAAACATTTACTTATAGCTAAACAAAATCTTTCGATGAAGACCATTCGTGTAATGGCCAATGAGAAATTTGCATCTACTCTACTTGACTCTTGACGGAAGGAGGTCGATCACTTACAGATAGGGTCTCATTATATCTATTTATAATGTGCTACAGGAGCATATGGCTGATAGCCAAAGGTTTCAAAGTGTTAAAGATCTTCTGACCTACATTTTCCAACTTTGTGTAAGGCGATCACAGCTATTCGGTTTTCTTTATCACCCCACTCCATGTTAATTAAGCGAAAGAGAAATACAAACTAATTGGGATTATTCTACTGCCATGTAAAGAAAATAACCTGGTAGAGGTAAGGATTATCTAAATAATACCCAGGGATATAAACAAAGTTCAACTTTTGTAACAGTATTCATGGCAGAACTAGGAATAGTCAAAATCCACATAAAGGTTATGATGGTCAGGCATTATGAGGGATTATCTGCTTTAATATTCTTGAGTCTAGCGGCATGATAACTTCTTTTTCTGGCGAAACCACAAAAAGAATATCAACCTTTCCACTCTGATTAAAATAGGTTTGGTAGTAACTCTAGAAACATTAATAATTGTAATATGTAACACATCTTATCATATGCAAACTGGTATATTATGTAAACTTCACATCACAATCAATAATATGGAATCAAAACAACAAAGTCCTCTAGACTATAAAATTCACACAGGTTTTTCGGTCAAATTTCCTGACTTTTCCAAATAATCCAGGTCCAGTGGACCTTGATGTTTAATTATACTTGATGGTATACCTATTGAAATTTATATTAATATCCTCAACCAATCCATAAATGATGAGTTAGGAATTTCCAAATAACCTCACAACTTTTGAATACCATTATACATAAAGAACGATGCTCATAAGATTATTTATTTTCCTACAAAAGTACCTTAATTAAGCACAGCATATACTACCAAATAATTAATAAACGATTTAGAAACAGAAATTATTCTTTACTTAAAAACAAAAATAAGAAAAAAATACAAAAATTTCCTAAATTTATGACTGATTAGTTATGTTACAAAAATAACTATTCAATAACGGACATTAATGAAACATTAAAAAATAAAATAATGAATAAATAAAATCCCGATCACATCTACTAAGTTACCAACCTTGTTCTCTCTTAATATGATTCAATGAGCTTAAGATTTTTAGAACACACGGCATCCGAGGATTTTTTTGATAAATCATCCTAACTGCTATAAGTTAGTACGAATAAAATAAAATTGAAAAAAGAAAAACTTTTTATTTACAAACAATGCCGGACATTTAAACACCTTGTGAAACGCATGTGAACGACAAAGCACAATGAAATATTCGAAAATCGAAAAACAGAAACCAACTTTAAATAAACTGTAACAAGGACATTTTGCAGGCAGTCATACATCAGCGAATGAAAAATATAAACTAATTGGGATTATTATCCTGACATGTAAAGAAAATAACCTGATAGAGGTAAGGATTATCTAAATAATCACATCGATAATCAGTTTTTTATAATAATCAGTTTTTATTATAGTATTTTACGATTTTGTAATTTCATTTGAAATCTGAATATGGTTAACAAATATTTACTACAAATCTTGTCAAACAATATTATAGATAAAACATAATTACAATTAAGAACAGCTATATGGAAGTAAAAGTAAAAAAGGACACTCAGTTTAATTAACCCAAATTTATAAATGGAAATTAAAACTTTAACCAATTTCACAAAATAAAAAACTTTAACCAATTTCACAAAATAAAAAACTTTAAAAAATGAAATGATCTATTTGAGATCATACATTATTGAATGGACAAATGTATACAATGGGTGATAAAAAATATGAAAATCAGTGAGTAATTTTTAATGGTGTAATACCACAATTCAACCCAAACATGTGATCTATCCCTTCAAAATAAAAAAGAGATATATGTACATAGATATGAATAAAGTAAAATTATTGAATTCATAAACTAAAACTGAAATTTATAAACAAAATAAAGATAATTTAATGAATAAATACAAAAGTAATAATCGAGATAAAATAAGTAATAAAAATAAGAATACAAATAAAAATAAAAATAGAGATAAATTAAGTAATTAGGATAAAAAAAATAAATAAAGTAAATGATAAAAATTTAGGAATTAAATAAGACAATATAGAAGATGCTTCGGCAATAAGAAAAAAAAAGAATGAATAAAATAAAATACTATAATTATTACATAAATAAGGGCCATTTTTCTAAACTCATTGCTAATCCATTGATGGATTTCCGTTGATCCTCAATCATCTTAGCGCTGTGTTTAGGAATTTGCCCATTATTAAATAGATGAGTTTAGGAACAGTCTTATGGATCTCCGATATCTATCACTGATCTCAAGGTTGAGTTTAGGAGCTATTCCAAAGTTAGGGCAAGTTCCTAGACTCAGCCCTGAGGTCAATGATGCGTATCGGAGATCCATAAGATTGTTCCTAAACTCATCTATGTAATAAAGGGCAAGTTTCTAAACTTATTGCTAAGATCATTGATCGGCATCGGAAATCCACAAATGGATTAGCGCTGAGGTTAGGAACTTGTACTTAGGATAAAATAATAGATAGGTTCATACCATGTCCTAATCCTAAGTTGTATACCTCTGTTTTTGGAAACAATTTGTTGAATTTATACATCAGATGATGGAGATCTTTGATGATTGATTTTTTCTACAGTAGATATGTCATAAACAATTTTGAGAAACATAAACAACTGAAAAGTGAAAAGGAACTTTTAAACTAAAAGAGGACAAGAAAAAAACAATAAAAAATATAATAACTGCAATAAATTTTGGAGATCTGACTAATATGGTCTACATAACTGATATTCAAATCAGTGAAAGAACAAGTCAGTGGAACTGTAAACATATCCTGAAATGCATCTTATTTTAAATATTTGCAATAAAGCACTGCATAGAATATTTGGATCGAAAAAGGACTGGTCCACATAAGAATTTAGTCGGCAACACAACACCACCTTGTTTAGTAGAGGGCCTCTATTATTTACTCCTTAATGTGACATTGAGTGAGGGAATGAGAAGGAATGCATAGGAATGTATGGTTGCACTATGAATTGTACTCAATTGTGCAGTGGACAAATTGTTCATTAGTGGGAACAAAAAGAATCGAAATTAAAACCCACAAGGCAGCCCTATATTTGAAACTGCAAGGAAAAAATTGACATGCCACAGAGTCTAAAAGAAAATCTACGAGACAGCGAAAGTGCAGTTAAAAAAACTTTAAGATTCTTAAAAGCGATAAAATTCTACAACAGACTGTAATTTAAAGGTGTTGCCAATGACCCTACTGGGTAGAGGCAACAAAACAATAAATAAATTACTCATTGAAAAGTCTCATATCGATAAACAATCGACGAAGAAGGAAGAAGCCTGGAAAAGTAGCGGTAGGTGGCAGCAGCTAGAGAAAGACGCGGGAGAAAAAGAAAGAACCCAGTTGAAGAATGGGCGTGAAGGCAGAACGACTTGAAACCAGAAGAGAAGCCCAATTCACTGAAGATTAAGATTATCAAACCTACAGTTATAAGACTTTAATAGATTAAATTTATTACAGTTGTGGAAATAAATTATTTTGTTATACAGGAGTGAATATAGAAGTTGAATAGGTTCCCAACCCAGATTGCACAGAACACCACTGTGCCCGTGAATGTGCCCGCCTATGTCTAACATAACCTTTAGCAGCCATCACCTGGACTACAGTTTTACTGTTGCCTGCTGCAGATTGAAAAGTTTTATAGCGTTTTTAACTTAAATACAAGTTCTTGGTATTTTCTAATTTTGTTGGCTCTGGTGGTTACATTATATTTTGATTCCAGTAAACTTTTATATTTTTAACTTCTTTAAGTTTTTCTGGGGCATAACGATAATAGGACATATACTTTGGTGGTATATTTTCTCATAAGGTATTCCGTCCCTGCCAGAGAATCTCAGCCATTGTTTACATGTTGGAAAGATTCATGGAAGACTTTGAGCAGGCCGACATTTATCCATGGCCATATTTTCTTTTAATATTTGTTTCCTATAGGCCCTGGTTGCGAAAACCTGATCCTGAATAGTTATAAAAAATTGTGATAAAATCTGCCGTGTAATTCATTCTCCTTCCATGTGGTTTTGTAATAGTCAACATTTCTCTCTTTCGATCGAATCGGATCGCCAAAATTCAGGGCAGTGTAATCTTCATCTAATTCTTTCATCCGGGTGATGATTGAAGAGCATTTGTCATGAAGTATTTCTCTAGAAAGTTTTCTTGTTTTTGGCAAGAGTCCTCAATCGATATAAGACCAAGGAATACTTTTTTCTTGGTAAATAGAGTCTTACCATAAATGTCTTTGGGTGATGTATCTTAGCATCTGTCATGATTGTACGCACCAGGCAGTCCATTTCTTGAAGTTTGGTAGTTTACCATTGTTTAGCACCAAAACTGTATGCTACCAATGGTATTGCCCATGGATTTTGTTTTTACCATTTTGATAACTTCTGAGAATTTGAGACAGCTTTATCTTAAACTTGCTAGTTATTTCACTAAGTACCTTTTTCTTGGCCATTTTAATACCTAGGTATTTATAAAATTCCCCTGCAGACTAGTGTCTCATGAACTGTCCTGGCGGAAGGTGTAAGGAACTGCTGTCCTTAACTTTCCCTAAAGTAACCGAACGACATACAGATTGAATTTCTGAACGTTGACACAAGTTTCATCATGCATTGTAGCTGTTTCTTATTTTTTGCATATAACTAAAGGTCGTCCATATACGAACTGTGGCTGATGGTGGATCTCTGGTCACCTATTTTTAATTGATATCCAAGCTTGCTGCTTCGGAGGATATGACTTAATGGTGCTAGAAATAAGCAAAACTATAGTGGGCGTTTGAAGTTTTGATGTTTCCGAGAAGTAAACGAAGTTCCTTTGTCGTTATGAATGTATGTATGAGGAGATTCCAAAAATTGAAAAAATCAATGAGGCAGTCTATAACTGTCAAAGTATTCATGTCTGAGAAGGGATAAGCAAATGGAAACCGTAAAAACTCATCAATCAAGGTCAGGAGGAACTTGTTCCTGGTTTTTGGGGTAAGAGTGCCCTTAAAATTTATAATAATTCTTTCGAAAGGATGAGTACCCTTGAGCTTAGAATTGAGCATTTTATAAAATCTCGGCTTGATCAAATTGTATTTAGAACAAGATGCGGTAAATTTACGGATCACTTCAACTAAAAACGATTGATTATGTGTTCGTACCCAGTGAATCATTCGAGTCACACCAGGATAACACAAATCACAATGCAGAGAGAGTACAGTTTATTTTATTGAATCGATACACATATTCTTGAGAAGGTATCTGTGACAAGGTTATCTTTCCCTGGTCGGTATATTATATCATAATATCAGCATGATAACTCAAGACGCCATCTCTGTATCTTCTCGTTTTTAATTTTATTCTGATGTTTTATATCGAACATAAAAGACACAGAGTGTTGGTCAGTGATTATTGTGAAGTATCGTCCTAATAGAAAATGTCTCCATTTTTTCAATGAGCAAACGATTACATAGGCCTCTTTCTCAACAGCTGAACGTCGCCGTTCGCTATCGCTGAGTTTTTGAGAGAATAATGCCACCGGGTGGCCGGATTGGGAGAGCACTCACTACTGAGATTGAGAAGACGGAGGCGTCCGTTTCGACAAAAAATGATTCTTTATAGTCGATGGCACCCATTATTGATTTAGATATCTCATTTTTTAGAAGCTCGAACTGTGAAACAACCTCTGGTGTTAAAGGAAAAGTTCTAGAGTTTAACAAATAGAACTTTGTCTGAATTATTTGGAACCCACCTTGAACAATGAGCGAATACTCCAATCGTCCTTTGAAGTTCTTTTGAGTTATTTGGAGGAGGCAGTTTAAGGAGAGGTTTCAAACGGTCAGGGTCAGGCGAATAGCCAAGAAGTCTAATATAAGTTTGAGAAACTTTGTTTTTTTCATGTGGTAAATGCATAACTTTTTATTTCATCCATAAATCTTTAATAAGGGCAATAAAGTATTATCCTGTTCTACCTTGTTTGGTTCACAAACTGTTAAGTCGTCGAGATACGCGTATGTCTTTTCTAAGTTTTCTTTGGCAATAACGTCATCCATGACTCCTTGGAAACAAGGAACCTCGTCTGTCAGACCAAAAGCTAGTTGCCGAAATTGATGCAGGCGGCCACAGACTTCGAAGGTAATATAAGGACGATCTTGCTCTCAGAGGGGAAGCTGGT